AGGGGCCTTTGCTCTCACAATGATTGCAGTTTGGTTGGTGAACAGATATAAACTCAAATGAAAATCAGTGTGGAAAGGTGGAAAGTGCTATCTAGGCTGGCCTTGGCCCTGGGTCTTGACCCTGTAGACAGAGGAGCATGTGTGAAGGCACAGGGGCAGGAAAGTTTCCCTGAAATGCCTGGAACTTTTCTTTAAAAACCTCAAAATCCCCATTATCCACATAGCTCTCTAGAAGCTGTTAGGCTGGGCATGTCACTGGTGTAGGAGTACTGCTCCCCCAGGCCTCCACGCTACAAGGAAAGCCCCCGAGGGCACACAAGACTATTCTAATTAAGAGAGTGTGGTGCTTTGCTGTCTGCTGGACTGTGCTCAGTGAGAAACAAAATGAGATAAGAAACGGGTAGGAAATGTATCCCCTCGTGGTCTTGGTTCATTTGGCTCATGGTGGTTCTTTTTCATTCAACAAATATTAATTGGGTGCCTCCTGTATGCCAGGCTCTGTTTCAGAGGCTTGGGTTATGTCAGTGAATAAAGCCAAGGCCTCTGTCTTGGAGGCACTTACGTTCTTGTGGGGAATGTGAAGCCATCTAAGCTCCCTGAGGCAGGGTTGGTGTCCCCTGCTCAGTAGTGTGTCCTCAGGGACCACCCTGGCCCCTGCTGGGAAACAGTGCTCAGTAATTGTGGAAGTAACCTCCTGCTTCAGTGTTTCAGGAGTGCTGGTTGGTGGGAAGAAAACAGGGATGGTGTCCCCTGCTCAGCAGTGTGTCCTCAGGGACCACCCTGGTCCCTGCTGGGAAATAGTGCTCAGTAATTGTGGAAGTAACCTCCTGCTTCAGTGTTTCAGGAGTGCTGGTTGGTGGGAAGAAAACATGGAGAAAGGCAGACGATTTCTTTGCTCTTTGAGATCTACTGGGTTGACTTATTGTGTTTGATCTTTAGTTATAAAATTCTCAGCCACCGAAGAGAAAAAAATACTGAATAGACTCTAGCAGGCCACCTTTTCCTCGTTACCCAGGAAATGGACCCAGTCTTTTATTCATATCACTACTTTGAGTTTGCACGACAATGACAGGTGATATTGAATTTAAGTGTATTGGTGCCTGGGTCAGATTTTGAGGTCTGAAGCTAATTTGGAAGGACAAGTTAAAGGGAAGAATTGTCTTTTCCCACCCTACTCCCTAGAAATAAAAGGAGAAATAACCACACAACAAAAATGTATTGAGCTTGTTATTGAAGTAGCCACTCATGACAAGCTGAAATGATTCTCATGTCCCCAAGTTTCTCTAGCCTTGGTTTTCCATTTTGATTTTGGAGCTCTGGCTTTCTTCCCATTTACATTTCCTCCTTGGTTTGATTACAGAGGGACAGATGGCATTTGTCGAGAATGTGGTTCAGAGTCATAGAACAGGACGAAACCAGGTGCAGTGAGTTTGTACGTTAGAATGTACATTTCAGAGCCTGGAAAGATGCTGCCACGGGGCCCAAGGGGGAACCGGAGCCCATCGCCAGGATAGAGGGTGGAGAGGGAGGGTCGAATGCTGGTAAGTCAGCAGACAAGCCCTGGAAGGAGGTTCAGCAGGAGGAGGATAAAACCAGATGGAAAAGATAGGAGAGAAGAAAAGATAGAAGTAGGTCAAGGGAAGAGTAGACTGTGTCCCCATGAAAAGTGGTAGGCTTTCCTGCCAATGGGAAAACAAGGATCTGAATGAGAGCAAGGCTGTGGGACTCTGGCCTGAGCTCTCCATAATGGGCTGAGGACAGTGATGTTGGTGAGTGAAAGCAGAGCTTTGCCCGTCAGGCGGAACGAGCAGCTGGCACTCCGGGGACTGCAGGCCCTTTCCTCCTTGGGCCCAGCCGAGCTGTTGGGAACCATTCCACGTAGAAGGAAATGCACCCAGCTCAGGAAGCTTGTGAAGCAAAGTGCAGGAGATGAACCCCAAGTTCTGACAGCTTGCCAGAGTGCCCGCTGCGCGAATGCTGGCAGGAACACTTGTTTTGAGAATAGTTTAACCATAATGAATTCTGACATCATTGCACTTTCTCAGACAAGGGTGTTGAAATGGAATACATGACCTAATGTCAGGGGTCTGTGGAAACCCTCAAAACAGGGAGATTGGGAGATTCCTTGGCTCTCTTATCTTCATTTTGAAGTGGAGTTTTAAGCAACAGTTCCTTCTTAGATACTTAATTGATCTCAACAGTTTAAGAATTAACTAACAGTTCGGAGATATGAAGGCAATCGTGTGGGTTTTGTTTGCCTCTCTCAAATTGGGTTATCTCATAGCATTTGGAATATAATTCTTGCAAGTTAACTTCCTTTTATTTTTTGTTCTGATTATCCATGTACTTGAACATTTTTATTTTTCTGCTCTCATGGCAACAGTGGAAGCGATCAGTTGAATACAATTATGTGATTTCAACATGTTTGGATGACAGGATTTCCTGAGAATTGTGTTTTTGCATTTGGGCACTTTAAGATGTGCCTATTTCACCTCTTCTTGCTGTCCGATTGATCTGTGGTGGGGGTGGGGACCCTTCTGGGTGCCAGAGTCATTGCAGTGGGCTGTAGCTTCAGGCCTTCTCAGCTCTGTGGTTACTGTGGCTTCTTTGTTTACAAGCAGATTCTTCCCAGCTTGAGGAAGATTTTGCTTCTGAATCTTAAACTCTCTCCAGGAATAAACTGGAAACAGTTTGAGAAAAACTTGTATTTGCTTCAAAGGCTTAATTGGGAATACGCACCCAGTGGCTGGTGTTGCCCCATCCTGCCTGGCCTCCTTCGGGGCGGAGACTTCCTCTGTTCCTCCACCAGAGGGCCTCGGTCCTGCGCGGGAGAAACCCTCTTGCATCTTAACAGGGGAATTGAATTTCTCTATCCGTCATCGATCTCTTTTGGCAGCCCAGGGCATTACCCGCATTCACTGGACTTCTTCCCCTGGGCCAACGGATTTTCTTTCCAGTTTTGGACGAGTAATGAGTATTTCATTAGCTGTCATCACTGGGACACACAGAATTTATGTTATGAATATATGAAGTAATTTGCATATTAATGATGCAAAACATAGACCTGAACTCTTGGATTCATATTTTGTTCCTTCCTCTAGAGTTACACTTCTGTTTTGGAGCTTATGTGTACCCAGGAAGGTAACAGAGTAGGGTAGAAAGCTCCCAGCTCACTGTCTCTCTCACGGGGCCTGTGAGCTTGAGCAAGCCCTTCACTTCTGTGTCATAATGGACCGGATTCTGTTGGATCATTTATAGCTGGAAAATTCTGTGCTTCTGTAACTGTCTAAGTAGCTCATTCTGTTTCCTAGGACACTGGAAACATTCTCAATGACCAGTTCCTATTTGTAGGCTTCCCTGGCTTGCAATATTTAGGTTTGATACTGCTTATTCCAGGCCTGATTTCTACCTGGTAAATCAGCCCCTTCCACCAGGGTCTCCACTTGTGTTGCCTCAGTCACAGCTTATTTCATACAATTCAAAGTACCATCCCTTCTGTACCCAGTAGGAGTTGAATCCGTGATTCTGGAACAAAGTTAGACTACCATATTCATTCCCATCCTTTGTTTAGCTGTAGCTATTTCCTTCCCTCCATGTTACTTAAGAGAACTGAGCTTCAGTCCAAAGCAAATGTACTTTGTTGCCTGTGAACATGGATCCCATAAAAGCAAATGAAGGAGAAAGGAGAGTAGATTGCATGTCCCAGGGCCTGTTACCTAATCTTTATTCACGTCTCTGTTAGATTTCCTTTAGTGCCGCTTGGCGTCCTGAGCACAGCTTCTCTTTTTATGCCACCATCAAGCTTCTGATCTGATACCATCTGATATGTGGGGGTGAGAGGACTATGGGAATATTTATGTACCTATGCCAATAAACCATTATCTTAAAGTTCTGGGGCCATTCTTGTGCATGAGAGCCCTGGGATGTCATGTAGGTATAAGATGCGAATTAATAGCCCTCATGAGTGCTTGTAACTTACAGAACCCACATTCAGGTTTGATTTAATACCTTTGCGTGATTCAAAATGTCATCCAAGAAGAGAGCCAAATACCTAGAGCATCTGCCACGGCCTGCAGAGGCTGGCTGACACGTTTGCAGTGGCTGATCCACGCTGTGGCTTTTTGGAAAGATGAGATATGTTCTAATGAGCAGGTTATAAATATCGCTGAGTTATGTCATAGGTGGTGGCAGCGCTTAATGTAAAGGGACCGGCTGGGGAGCGTTCCCAGCTCAACAGGCTGGATGCAGCTTTCAGAGAGGACAAGTGGGGCTTGAAAATATTGACCAGGATGTTACAAAGTAATTATTTGTCTCTTAATGAAACATGTCACCAAATGTGTCCCTGTGGGGTGTGAGTGGCAGTGAGATGAGGTGTGCTGTGCTCACACTCAGGGAGCTTGGTTCCAGTTGTCACACACTGGCTCTCAGAAGGGGCCTCTCACCCTTTTGCTTCTTTTTGTCAGTGTGGGGTTTGGAGGAGGGTTGGTTTGATGAATTTACCGGGTTTGGTAAGTTTATGTTCTCAAAGATGCAGAGTGGTTGCTTGGTGGAGTTCCTGTTTTCTCGTGCCTTTCATCTTCATATTTTATCCTTACCCATGGTGCACACAGTGCCTTGCTCATATTCTGGTGCGCTTTTGCCCAGTGTTGTCTCCCACCTTTTAAATGAAAATATAGATTTCAGTCCCACTCTACAGAGCCATTGAGAGTTTCAACACAGACTCTTCTAAGGTATCTTGCTTTTTAATTTGTTGGCCTCAACTGATTTTCAAATTGTTATTTTTTAGAGAAAATGTGCTAGGGGTTAGAAAACTCAAAAGGCCATCAATCTTAGGTCAAATGTTTCATTTAACCAAAGATGGCTAGACACGTGCAGAGTAATCGTTTGCTTAAAATCTAGCCAACAGCTTTTATGCAGACAAAATGCATTGAAACATGCATGTAACGCATTTGATATTAATACATGCCAGATGAAAACCGTCCAATTCTGTGTCCACACAGGAACTTGACAAGAGGAGTCGGAAGGTTTAGAGAGCTGCTCAGAGCAGTTGAAACGAGAACAACTCAAAACCTGCGAATGGTAAGTGTGACCAGTGACTTGATTGAGGCCAGCAGGCACTTGTCTCATAGGTATTTACATTCATATTTTTTTACATTTACGTATTATAAATATATGTGACATATATTTATAATAAATATATGGAACAAAGTTAGACTACCATATTCATGCCCATCCTTTGTTTAACTGTAGCTATATTTATTTTTGTAATAAATATATGTCACATATATTTAAATATTTATTGTAAGTATATGTCACTGGGCTTATGAATTTGAGCAAGCTCTTTCACTTCTGTGTCATAATGGATATTTATGTGACATATTTATAATATATAATTATAATATATAAATATATGTAATATATAATATAAATTTATAATATATAAATAGCAATTTACTCATTTAAAGTTTTTAGCATATTCACAGAATTGTCCAGCTATCACTAATATTTAATTTCAGGACATCTTAATCACCCCCAAAAGAAACTCTATACTCATTAGCAGTCAATCCCCATTTTCCCCTCCCCCCAGTCCCTGGCAACCACTAATTTACTTTCTGTTCCTATGGATTTGCCTATTTGGGGCATTTCCTATAACTAGAATGATACAATTTGTGGTTTTGTTTTTTTGTTTTGAGATAGAGTCTCGCTCTGTTACCCAGGCTGGAGTGCAATGGCACAATCTTGGCTCATTGCATCCTGCCCCAGCCCCCCGAGTAGCTGGGACTACAGGTGCGCATCACCACACCCGACTAATTTGTGCTCTTTTTGTGACTGACTTTCTTTACTTAGCATAATGCTTTCAAGGTTCCTCTGGGTCACAACGTGATCAGTATTTCTTTCCTTTTTATTGCCAAATAATATTCTGTTGAATGGATGTATCACATTTTATTTGTCCGTTCATCAGCTGATGGACATTGGGTTGTTTCTACTTTGGGGCAATTACAAGTAACGCTGCTATGAACATTCATGTACAAGTTTTCGTGTGGACATATGTGTTCTTTCTCTTGGCTGTATACTTAGAAGTGGAATTGCTGGGTCATATGGTAACTGTTTAACAATTTGAGGTGCTGCCAGACTGTTTTCCAAAGCAGCTGTACCATATTACATTCCCACCAGCAGTTATGAGGGTTCCAATTTCTCCACACCCTCACCAACAGTTGTTATTATCTTTTTAGGTGTAACCATCCTGGTAGGAATGCAGTGATATTCCATTGTGGTTTGATTGGCACTTCCCTGTTGGCTAATGATTTTGAGCATCCTTTCCTGTGTTGTTGGCAGCATTCTCTGCTGAAACCTGAGAATTGCACCTGTTAAGGCAGGTAGAATGTAGGCCCTCATGGCTGCCAGGGTGTTGAGGGGTTGGTGTATGCTTATGATTCATACCAAACCCAGACAGAATAAGACACATTGGATCCTGAGGGCTGCTAGTTGTTTGGCTAATTGTATTAACTATAAAACTTGGAAGAGAAATATACAACATAGTTAAATTAACTGTTTGGTTAGCAATTTGGCTCTCCTGTTGACTTGAATTCTTTCTTTGCCTTTTTAATCCTTTCACTTTCGTATCTAGGGACGTTCATTAGGTAGACCTCTACAACTTGCCCTATATAACCATAGCCAGTGAGTGCTTGAGTGGAGGACTGGTGCTTATGAAAAGCTAAGCAAATGCCACATGTCACAGTTGATGTAGCAACCTCATGGAAGGTTGCAGTTTATCTTTTGTCACCCATACTTTTGTCCTTTCTTTATCATGAATCCTTTAAATGCTGTGGGAGAGTATTCAGTTGGGCAAGGCTAAGAGATTCATGTCATAGGAAATGACTTCATTGTGGTGTCTCCAGAGTTTTAAGATGTAGACATACAACTCATGGGGCCAGATGGCCAAGCTGGGCTTTCCTAGAATTATGGGGGTGAGACAGGATGGGCAACTTCACACACACACACACACACACACACACACACACACACACACCCCCTGTCATCACCACCACCAAGAGCTCAGTTGCCTTCAAAATTTACTTATATATCTATGTGATTTATAAGTGCCTTAAGAAGTTCAAACAAAATATTTCCATTTTTAGGGTTCTTCAAGGCAAAAGAACTTACAAGAATGTTGTCTTTTCTCTCAAATTTACCTCCTCTCAGTATTTCATAAAACTTCCCAACTGATCAATATGAACAGGTTCTTCCAAGATTTGGAAGCATGATGAAAGTAACTGACTGAATTGGCAAGTGTTTTCATAATTGTTTTAAAAGCGCGTTTAAAAAGTCAGTCTTTCAAAATTGCTTAAGTATAGAGCATTTGTTCATATTGTCGACTCTCACTGGTTTCTTGATTTGATTTACATTGGACATTAGAAAGTTTCTCCAGCTAATGACATTCATAAGCAGTGTTTCCATCAGCCTTAATAACTATGATATTTTTAGATTAGCTGATAATTGCAAATTTATAATATTCTTATGAGGTAGAAAAGTTGCTTTGTAAACTATCTGGTGTGACATCATAGCAGAGAAGGATTTTAAAGTATGTTTTCAAGAGTTCCACTCTTAGATATATACTCCAAATATTAAAAACAGGTGTTCTGCAGTGAGCTATGGGTGATTGCACCACTGCACTCCAGCCTGGGTGACAGCCTGAGACCCTGTTTCAAAACAAACAACATAGGCGTTCAAACAAAAACTTGTACATGGATGCTCATAGCAGCACCATTTATGATAGCCAAAAGGTGGAAGCAATCCACATGTCTAGAACTGATGAATGGATAAGCAACATGTGGTATATCCACACAATGGAATATCATTCAACCATAAAAAAGAATGAAGTACTGATACATACACAACGATATGGATGAACCTTGAAAACTTTATGCTAAGTAACAGAAGCTGGTCACAAAAAGACCCATATCACATACTTTAATTTGTATAAGATGACCAAAATAGGCAAATCCATGGAGCCAGAAAGCATATTGGTTGTTCCCAGAGTCTGAGAGGGAGGGGAAGTGGGGAGTGATTGCCTAAAGGATATAGGGTTTCCTTCTGGGGTGATGTTCTGGAATGTTCTGGAACTAGATAGTGCTAATGGTTGCACAACATTGTGAGTGTCCCGAATGCCATTGGATTGTGCACTTTAAAGAAATAAAATGGTGACTTTTATGTTATGTGAATTTCACCACAAGTTTTAAAACACATACACACACACACACACACAAAGGGCATTTCATGACCAAATTTGTACATAAACATCCAGGTCTTATTTCAGGCCCACTTCCCACCTTTCTCTCCTTTGATTCTGAATTTATTTTATAGTTACCAACAATTTGATGCATTTAAACTACAGGCTAAATGTAGGTTGAGTGTAAAAAGTATGCTAGATATTGGTGATCTTGCTGGTAATCTCATATTTATCATTTTTTTCTGAACTTCATTTGAGCTTTCAGTGGACATAACCAAATGGCCTTCTTAATAGGTAGGGCACTGATGAAGCGATGTCTTTAAAATATGCAATCACATCAAAACCCCATTAAAAAAAAAATCTCTCAGGAAGGTTAATACCCTGAGGGGAAATGAGACCTAGCATGAGCTATCTAGTAGTGAACAAGCAAACTGTTTAGGGCAGAAATTTTTACAACTTTAAAATCCCTCCATGGCAAATATATTCAGAAAATGAAATTCCTTGTTCATTTTTTTTTCTTTTAACATTTATTTCTCAGCTGTAGTGAGTGGAAGTTATTTTTGCCAGTTGAAGTTTCCAGCAAAAGTCATTAGCTTATATGACTGCAATGAGATCAAAATGAAACTATGATGGAAGGCTTAAGAAAACAGTTCAGGAGCTGTTTAGGTCCTGAAAATTGTGTTCTTATGAGATCTTTACAGATTGCTCAGTTGGGGATGATCAGAGTGCATTTAATTTCACATTTTTGTAGACATTTAATGCCAGTGGGTCTTTCTTGGGAATGATAGATAAAGTTTGCCTTTACCCAGTGGTTATCAGAAACCACTCTGTTAGTGATTTGGATGGATTTAACTTTCCTTGTGGTGTTTTAAGAGATTTCATATGGATGAAAGCTTAGCAAAGCCCTTTTCTGAAACATTTACTTATTTTTTTAAAAAAGGCTCCTTCTCAGAAGATCAGCAGTCTTTGTCTGCATCTTCAAAGAGTGCTGAAACCTGGTGGAAAACCATGCTGGGTTCTGGTGCCTCCTCTGGCTGACCATGGGTAGAGTGAACTACCTTGGGATGCAGTGCTTCTCTTTTCAGAGGAATTTTTTAAAATTACTTATCCTCTTCTTTGTTACTGGAAGATTATAAGCTAAGTGAACTGACATGCATCAGTCAACAAAACACTTCTTAGTACATACCATGCATTCTTTCCCCCCCATACATTATATTATACATGGTACTGTTTTAGGCAGTGGAGTTACAGAAGTTTGGGGAAGCTTATTAATCTGCATCTAACTTGGAGAACAGGATCCAGATGTTTCTGGGTTTTCACTGTGCAGAAGGGGATACCCATCCAGCTTTGAAGAAAGGTCTTTCTTGATCGGAACCATGTTCCCACTTTGCCTTCCCTATTGCACAAGGCAGGTGAGAATCTCCGGGCCAGGAGCCCAGGATGTGCTGAGAATAGACACTCAGGTGCTGAGTCCTTGGAGGTGGGACGTACAGGGCCTGCCATTGGTACATTTAAGAAAGAAGATGTCTACAGTAGACACTGGATTTTCAGTGAGGATAATTTTTTCAGGGATAGCATTATCTAAGCTGAGTACAAGCTTTTTGCCAGGTTTGAGGTTTAGCACACATCATTAGTGATGCTAATATCTGCAGCTCACCTGTTATTTATAAGAGCTCTTGGGAAAGGGCTTAGCCAAAAGTTTCAGTTGTTTCAGGTATAAAATATGTGTAGTATTCCAGAGTGTGACTGATGGGGCAGCATTTGAAGTACATGAACCTTTTTTTTTAAGTGTTCAAACATCTTAGCGAATCATGTTTTCTTTTCTTGTCATAAACTGGTACAATTACCATCGTAAAAGAAAAAATTTTAATTATGAGCCTTGCAGTAGTGCTTAGCACAATGTGATGATATAAATATTTATTGACTGACTGAATGAATGACTAATACAAAATAGATTCATGGCTGTGCTTTTCCTCGTTTATGTTCCCAGACAATAGCCAGGCAGCTGGCAGAGATCTTGTTGCGGGGTATGTGTGAGCAGAGCTACTGGAACCCTCTGGAGGATCCACCATGCCAGTCACCTCTGGACGATCCTCTCCGCAAAGGAGCAAACACAAAAACCTACACTCTCACTCGGAGAGCCCGTGTCTACTCCGGAGAGAAGTATGAAAGCTGATGTCCTCACTCGTAGGCTATGGGATGGGAGGGAAACTTGGGAAAATTCAAGGATGATGAGAAGTAGAAGAGTAGATTTTTTCCCTAAAAGAAAATCAAATGAACAAGTCTCGTTTTCCAGTTTAGTAGAGATTCCTCATTACTTTTTATATCTTCAGCAAGTATCTGTGCACTACCAGGGACATTTTAAGTAGGAGAAAGTTCTCATCTCAGTGCTTGGGTGCCATTTGCAGCCATCACTATTGGTTTTTGGAATTTTCATTCCATTTATTATAAGACCTCAGCATCAGACAGCAATCAGAAATAAAGCTATCTGCAAGCCGTCTAACATCTAACATCAGTCTCACCCTTCTAACATTTCTTCAGCAATTCCTTGATCCTTTTGCTTAAAATCTTGTTCTAAATGGAACTAGATGTAAGAAGAAGAATCTAATATTTTCAAGTGATTGGAAGGTGATGTCTCTTTAGAACTTCTTTATCTTTTTTAAGTTTTATATTTGAGACTTGATCACCTTGGAGGAAAATGGGTCAGAGAGTCACTACAGTCTTAGCATGAGCCTTCCCCAGGCCAGAGGAAGCCAGACAGAAGAGGAGAGACAAGGAGAAGGGCTGGGAGGCCGGAATGGTTGTTGACTCATTCTCAATGCCTCCCATTCAAGTCTTGAATTCCCATCTTTGCCTGCTCTTTTACATTTTTTAATTTTTAAAATTTTTTTTTTTTTTTTTTTTGAGATGGCGTCTCGCTATGTTGCCCATGCTGGAGTGCAGTGGTGCAATCTGCAACCTCCACCTCCCAGGTTCAAGTGATTCTCCTGCCTCAGCCTCCCAAGTAGCTGGGATTACAGGCACCTGCCACCATGCCTAGTTTTTTTTTTTTTTTTTTTAAAGACAGAGTTTTGCTCTTGTTGTCTGAGCTGGAGTGCAATGGCATGATCTCAGCTCACTGCAACCTCCGTCTTCTGGATTCAAGTGATTATCTTGCCTCAGCCTCCTGAGTAGCTGGGATTACAGGCACCTGCTTGCCACCACACCCAGCTAATTTTTGTATTTTTAGTAGAGACGGGGTTTAGCCATGTTGGCCGGACTTGTCTCAAACTCCTGACCTCAGGGTGATCCGCCCGCCTTGGCCTCCCAAAGTGCGGGGATTACAGGTATGAGCCACCATGCCTGGCACATTTTTATATGTAGAGACGAGGTCTCGCTATGTTGCCCAAGCTGGTCTTAAACTCCAGGGCTCAAGCAATCCTCCTGCCTTGGCCCCTCAAAGTACTGGGATTACAGGTGCCAAGCCACGGTGCCTGGCCCATGAAGTGTTTTAAAATATACACTGTACAATTTCAAAATATTGCTATTGCTATGTTAATGTATCATCTAGATTGGTATTTTCCATCGTTTGGTTTTAAGAATAGCTTCAAGAAATCTGATCCCTTTTGAAAGCAGATTTTTTTTTATTTTTTATTTTTTTATACTTTAAGTTCTAGGGTACATGTGCACAACGTGCAGGTTTGTTACATATGTATACTTGTGCCATGTTGGTGTGCTGCACCCATCAGACATTTAATTTAAAAGTCAAAGTTCATTCCTAAAATTTTGACCATCAAAAAATGCTTTTGACATTGTGGAAAACAATGAGTTAGTCACAAGAAAAAAAAATGAGTTAATCACAGAAAAGTTACCATGACAAGGTAGGTGGGCATAAGGCCAATTAAGTAATTTTCTTAAAGACACATGGAAACAGACTAATTTTGAACAATCTGTTTCCTAAAAGAAGAGGTTCTAGAGAAAGCTTTTAAGGATATGAGAAAGAAAAGGGGGAAGATAAGGTAAAATTATCACCATGTCTATATCTACCTCCCCTCACTGTGCAACTTCTTCAGAGGCTAGTCTTAAATTACCAGATGTGTAAGATGTGAGAGACTTACTGTATTTACTAATACATTGATGAATTTCTTTTAAATCCAACACTGAGTACAACAACTGAGATACTGCAGGCCTTCAGAGTCAAGCTAAACAGAAGTGTACAGATTATCACAGTAGTACAAGAATGATAATACTGTGTTTCTGAGGAATCTGAGTTCTTAAGGAATGTTCACTAGGGATCAGAACATGTTATCAGGCTTACATTATCTGAGGATTACCTTCTGGCAGACCTTAAAAAAAAAAACTGCCAGAAGGTAGCAGATCTTAAGTCTTAAGAGGGTTTTAGACCTGGAAAGGCCTTTGATGGGGCCTAGCCTAACAATCTCATGTTAAAGATATGAAAAGGGAGGCTCAGATTTACGTGACATGCTTCCCAAAAATCACTGAGGAAGTTGGTATCAGTGCTAAAATTAAATCCAAGTCTCTTGATTCCACCCTGATGTCTTTTCCACAATAATAAGTTGCTGCTCTTACCAGCCTCTGTCTGTGTGAGCATACGCCACAGGGAACAGCCCTAGGAATCCTCACATTAGTTTAGATATCTTCTATTTTCCATTCCCCTGGCATTAATCATCGGAACGGCCACGCACCAAAGACCACTAGCTCCTCAAATAAACAGCTACAAGCCAGAGCCCCAGGAAACAGTGCTTCTCTCCTACAGTGTGTACAGCACGTTTTGGGAAAAGGCAGGGAAAAGTTTGCCTTATCTTACTGCTGAGAGGCTCAGAAGGAAGGTAGCAGGAAGAATACCACAGCCAACAATGGTTTGTTCAATAAATAATGGACACCAGTCAACATGAGCTCTTTTGGTCTGGTGTTGTAAGCAGTCTTTTTCTTATGACTCAGTGGGAGCAGGGCCACACCAAATAGCACTGGAGTGCCTGAATAGAGTCCCATGAAAACACACTGGCCCATAGAGAAAGGAGAACACAGAGATATACAGAAGCACCAAAAGGGAGGCTTACAAACTTTTCCCCAAATTTGTATAAGCTCCACTTCTCCCTGTAACTTTCCTCAAAGATTAGAAGGGCATTGAGAAACACTTAAATTTACATCTCAGGGTTTACTGGATTAAAATAAAGAAGCCAACTCCTGCTCATGCTCAGTGGTTTTCAAGTTTTACTATATTTAAGAATCACTTGAGGCAGGTGTGTTGCTCATGCCTGTAATCCGAGCACTTTGGGAGGCCGAGGTGGGAGGATCACTTGAGCCCAGGAGTTCAGACCTTGTCTCTACAAAAATAATAATAATGGCCAGGGGCAGTGGCTCACACCTGTAATCCCAGTAGTTTGGGGCACCAAGGCGGGTGGATCATGAGGTCAGGAGTTCGAGACCAGCCTGACCAACATGGTGAAACCCCGTCTCTATTAAAAATACAAAAATTAGCCAGGTGTGGTGGCATGTGCCTATAATTCCAGCTACTCAGGAGGCTGAGGCAGGAAAATCGCTTGAACCCGAGAGGTGGAGGTTGCAGTGAGTCAAGATTGCGCCATTGCACTTCAGCCTGGGTGACAGAGGGAGACTCTGTCTCAAAAATAATAATAACCATCATCCATCATCATCATCATCCAGTGATTCTGATGCATGTGTTCTCATGACCAGAAAAGAAGCCACTGTTTTACCTATATCGATAACCTTCTGATTGATACAAATATCACCATCGAACAGATAAACACCAAAGTTCCTTGTTGCATACCTGAAAGAACAGTGTGTCATTTTTTTTTTTTGAGACGGAGTCTGCTCCTAGCCGCCAGGCTGATGCCAGTGCCGCGATCCTCAGCTCACTGCAAGCTCCGCCTCCCGCGGTTCACCGCCATCTCCTGCCCGTCGCATCCCGAGTACTGGACTACAGGCCCCGCACCCTCGCCCGGCTAAGTTAGGGTGCATTTTTTTAAATCACCTGAAAGCAGCATGATGAGAAAAGTTCCAACCTTGCTATACATCAAAAGCACCCTAAATATTTATTCTATTTAGTTTACTTTACTTATTTTTACTTTGAGACACAGTCTCAACTCTGCCCGGGGCTGCAGTGAGTTGGTACAATCGCGCTCACTGCAACCCTCCTCCCCTGTCAAGAGCTTCTCCTGCCTCAGCCTCCCAAGTAGCTGGAACTACAGGCGCATGCCAACATGCCTGGCTAATTTTTTGTATTTTAGTAGAGATGGGATTTTACCATGTTGGCCAGTATGGTCTCGATCTCCTGACCTTGTGATCTGCCTGCCTTGGCCTCCCAAGGTGCTGGGATTACAGGTGTGAGCCACCACGCTGGGACAATTTTTGCATTTTTTTGGTAAAGACAGGGTTTCACTATGTTGGCCAGGCTGGTCTTGAACTCCTGACCTCAGGTGATCCGCCCACTTTGGCCTCCCAAAGTGTTGGGATTACAGGCATGAGCCACCACCCTGGCCTTTGCCTGTTCTTATAAGGGCAAGACATGTTGGCTTTTCAGAATTTCTGTGTGAAGGAAAGGGGAACACACATGAATAAATATTGAAGACCTTTTCCATGTTTTCAAATTAGAAAAACAGCTGAGATGATGAGGTGGCAGCTTCTGAAGTCCCAGAGAAAGCACTAATAGAGATGGCATGACTAGACACTTTCTCCATCTGAAGATCAAGATTTCAAACATCTGAAAATAATTATTGTACTTTCAGAGGAGTTGGCATTTCTTCAAGGTTGCCATCTCTTAATAATCCTGTTGACCCTTGCATTTCTCTCTCTCGTCACCTTCTTGTTCAAGTTTGTGTTTCTTACATGGATTCAGATGAGTTCGCATATTCTTAGCTTTTTCCCTAGGTTTATCTTAATTTAGTTTTCATCCCCCTTTTCTACAGCCTTGTTGAACCATGTGAGTTTGCTTAATTCACAATCTGTGTTTACTCTTTAGTCCTTATCTGGATTCATAAAATATCTGTTCTAGCAATTTTCGATGCTCTTATTTTTAAAATGCTGACCCCTCATTATTAACTATTTAGAAGTAGGTTTGGGGTTCATTTTTAAGTGATATTTATATCATAAAAATAGACTCTAGAGTTTTCCCCTGCTTTAGACGCTTCTTCATAACCAAG